CTTTCTATACCTGTGTACGTGTTCCGGTCTAGTCTGAATTGAGAAGCAGCACTGAGGTCATGGTAGTGGGGGGTGAGGAAGCGTCAAAGAACCAGAGGAATATAGTGTGTTTCATCGATGCTTTACTGTACCCTGGTGACTCATCCCTTCCCTGTGGCCCCTCTGTGGGGAAATGGAAAAAACATATCTTCTTAAAAGTGTAGTAGCATTATTTTGCTTTTGAGTCTAACAACATAGGGATGATATTAAAAATTAGACTTGTCACTGCCAAATATGATACTTGAGGAGGTGTATGGTGGCATAGTGGGCTACTGTCAGGTTAGCAGTTCAAAACCACCAGGCACTCCAAGGGAGAAAGACGAGACTTTCTACTCCCATAAAGATTTACAGCCTTCAGAAACCCACAAGGGCAGTCGGAATTGACTAGATGCCAGTGAGTTTAGCCTTTGGGTTTTTTATTAAATTGGAACTCAACCAACCAACAACTTCGTCATATGTCAAGTCCTTTCAGAGAGGCATCTGTGAACGGCTCTGTGTGTTTTGCTCTGCAGAGAACTCAAGGTTGGCATTCCTGTCACTGATGAAAACGGGAACCGCTTGGGCGAATCAGCGAATGCTGCGAAACAAGCCATCACGCAAGTCGTGGTCTCCAGAATCCTCATGGCCGCCCCTGGCATGGGTCAGTAGAGCCTTGTCCACTCACTCACTGACTGCACGTTGAACGGCCCTGGTCACGTCAGTGACCACTGACTGATCACAGCGCACAGGCAGACAGACCACCAGTGGGTGGAAGTAAACGACCGATCGTGTTCTGCCACAGGGTCTAGGAGGGTAACAGTCCGAATCCAGCGGGTGACTCCAGGGGAGGTCCTTGGCTGCCTACTGCTGCTTCTAGTAGCAGATGGTCCTCAGGGTGCTGGACACATAGACCTACCCTTCTTCATTCAATAGTCTGTCTTCCTCCATAGATGCTTCCTTTTGGGTCAAAACTGCTGTTTCTCTAACTTGGTCAAGATGAAGTTTAAACCATACCTTATACTGCTAGGGCCTCGTGAACATAACGAAGAAAACCCAGCCCCACACGCGGCTGCATACACCCACCGCTACTGGGGTCCGGATGCTGACACATTCTTGGACACAAGGGTGGCAGAATACTTACTCCAGTCCATCCCCAGGGCTAAGGGAGTAAAGGGACAGGGCGCGCAGGAGTGGACGTAGACAGGATGCCCGGAAAGAAGACCCGAGGGCAGAAAGA